ATTGTTAAAGTTCAATTTATCTGCATTTTCTTTTGTTGCCTATGCTTTTTTTTGGAGACAGAGTCTTGCTCTGTTGCCCAGGCTGGAGTACAGTGGTACAATCTCGGCTCACTGCAACCTCTGCCTCCCGGGTTCAAGCAATTCTCCTTCCTCAGCCTCCAGAGCAGCTGGGATTACAGGCCCATGCCACAATCCTCCACTAATTTTTGTGGATAATGGCATTTCACCATGTTGACCAGGCTGATATTGAACTCCTGACCTCAAGTAATCCTCCTGCTTCAGCCTCCCAAGGTGCTGGGATTACAGGTGTGAGCCATTGCGCCCAGCCTGTTGCCTGTGCTTTTGGTGTCATACTTAACATATCATTGCCACTTCCAAGGTTATGATGATTTTCCTCTCTGTTTTCAACCTTCTAAGAGTTTTAGCTCTCATGTTTAGATCCTTGTTCCATTTTGAGTTAGTTTTTATATGCAGTATAAGGTAAAAGTTTAACTTCATTCTGTTGCGTGTGGACTTCCAGTTTTTCCAGCACCATTTGTTACAAAACTGTCCTTTTTGGCCAGGCGTGGTGGCTCATGCCTGTAATCGCAGTACTTTGGGAGGCTGAGGCGAACAGATCACTTGAGGTCAGAAGTTTGAGACCAACCTGGCCAACATGGTGAATCCTTGCTTCTACTGAAAACACAAAAAGTTCGCTTGGCATGGTGGCACATGCCTGTAGGTTAAGCTGCTGGGGAGGCTGAGGCAGGCGACTTGCTTGAACCCAGGAGGTGGAGGTTACAGTGAGCCAAGATCATGTCTCTCATTCCAGCCTGGGTGAGAGAGCGGACTGTCCTCAAAAAAAAAAAAAAAAAAATGAACTGACTATCCTTTTCCCAATTGAATAGTCTTGACCCTTCTAGGAAATCAATTGATTATATATGTAAGGGTTTATTTCTGGGCTCTATGTTTTATTCCATTGATCTTTAAATCTAGAGTTTGAGAAAGATTGGTATTAATTTTTTTTTTTTTAAGTTGGAGTCTTGCTCATGTTGCCCAGGCTAGAGTGCGGTGGCACGATCTCGGCTTACTGCAACCTCCACCTCCTAGGTTCCAGCAATTCTCCTGCCTCAACCTCCCGAGTAGCTGGGATTATAGATGCGCACCACCATGCCAAGCTAATTTTTGTATTTCTAGTAGAGACGGGGTTTCACCATGTTGGCCAGGCTGGTCTTGAACTCCTGACCTCGTGATTTGCCCACCTCACCATCCCAAAGTGATTAATTTGTCTTTAAATATTTGGTAGAATTCACCAGTGAAGCCTTCTGGTCCTAGGTTTTCTTTGTTGGAAAGGGGCCCAAGGGGCCTGTGGGACACCATTAGGCATATCAACCTACATATCATAGCAGTCCCAAAGAAGAGAGAGAGAGACAGGGGAAAAAAATGAAGAAATAATGGCTGAAAGCTCTGCACGTTTGATGAAATATATGAATTTACAAAGCCCTAAGGCTCAAGGAACTCCCGGCAAGATAACTCAGAAATCTACAGCAAGAAATATTATAGTCAAACTATCAAAATCCAGACAAAGAATTTTGAACGTGGCAAGAGAGAAGAAACTTTCCATATACAAGAGATTCTCAAGAAAATTAACAGCTGATTTCTTTACAGAAACCATAAGGGTTCTGTAACCATAAGTGGTATGACATATTTTAAACTTTGAAAGGAAAAAAAAAAAAACCTTCAATCAAGAACTCTATATCCAGCAAAACTATCTAGAAATTAAGATACTTCTAGATAAACAAAAGCTGAGGGAATTAATTACCAATAGTCTTTCCCTACAAGAAATGCTAAAGGGAGTCCTTCAGGCTGAAATAAAAAGACACTAGATGTAACTCTAAGCCATTAGAAGAAATAAAGGCCACTGGTGAAGGTAACTAAAGCCAGTATTATGCACTTTTGTTCCATAACACTTCCTTTTTTTTCTATATGATTTACAAGGCAAGTGCATATGTATTAATGTGGATGTCTATGTTAATGGGCACACAGTATATGAAGATGCAATCTGTCACAACAATATAAAGGGAGGAGGCAGAGAGGTGTATGAGCAGAGTGTTGGTATGTTATTGAGACTAAGTTGGTATTACTCAAACTTAGTTGTTAAAAGTTTAAGATGTTAATTATTATACAGTTGCCTTTTAAATCTTGTATGCCAGTTTCCTGTTGCTGCTGTAACAACCGATTACATACTTCGTGGCTTAAAACAACATACATCTACTGTCTGATAGCGAAGATCTGACATGCATTTTGCAGGGCTAAAATCAAGGTGTCTTCACCTTGCTAGGCTGTGTTCTTTCTGAAGACAGTAGGGGAGAATGAATCCTTTCCCTTTTTCAGCTTTTAGAAGACACCTGCTTCCTTGACTCATGGCCCCTTCCTCCATCTTCAAGGCCAGCAGCAGATCACTTTCTAGTCTGTCTCCCTCTGACATCTACTTCTGTCATTTCTCCATTTCTCACTTCTGCCTTCCTCTTCTAAGGACCCTTGTGACTACATTGAGCCCATCCAGATAATCTAGACTGATCTCACCATCTCAGAATTCTTGACTTAATCACATCTGCAGAGCCCATTTTGTTACTTATAAGAAATGTATTTACAGATTTCAGGGAGTAGGATGTGGATGTCTCTGGAAGCCTTTATTCTTCCTTTCACACAATATAAACCATTGAAATTTTTAAATACAAAAGGAAATTGTAAAAGCAATTTCTAAATATTAAAAACCAATAAATGAAAATTTTCAAGTTGGGGGCTTATTCCTGCAAACAAAAAGAATTAGGCTGGGAGTGTAGTATCTCACACTTACAATCTCAGCACTTTGGGAGGCTGAGGTGAACTGATCACTTTATGCCAGGAGTTTGAGACCAACCTAGCAACATGGCAACACCCTGCCTTTACAAAAAATGCAAAAATTAGCTGGGCACAGTGGCAGGCGCCAGTAATCTCAGCTACTTAGGAGGCTGAGGCTGGAGGATTCTTGAGCCTGGGAGGTCAAGGCTACAGTGAGCTGAGATCCTGCCTCTGCACTTCACACTTCAGCCTGGGTGACAGGGTGAAACAATGTCTCAAGAAAGAAAGAGAGAAGAGATACAAATGTAATACCAAAGAAGTTAAGGCAAAACCCTACAATCATAAACCTTAACTAGAATTGTCAGTATTAACCCTTTTGTGTGTTTCTTTGTTTGAGACAGAGTCTCCCTCTGTCGCCCAGGCTGAAGGGCAGTGGTGCAATCTCGGCTCACTGCAACCTGCAACCTCCGCCTTCCGGGTTCGAACAATTCTCCTGCCTCAGCTTCCCAAGTAGCTGGGATTACAGGCTCCTGCCACCATGCCCAGCTAGTTCTCTTTTTTTTAAAATTTTTTTTATTAATGTATTTCCTTACCATGTCCATTGTAAAGACCTAGAAGCAATGACAACTCAATAGCAGTAAACACCTAGTGTCCAGACTGTGAAAAAAAAAACTTGACTGGAGAAAAACTCACTACTGTGATGTCTGGTCTTTTCATTTAGATCTTCAATTGTCAAACGATGGCCCTAAGCACTGACTTGCAATCCAACCATATTCCCTCATTTGTTCCACATCTCTCTGAGATAGTTATTTTAAATCTTTTCTGACTCCTCAAATGGACAGTGGCCTTTGCCCTTTTCTCACTGAGGTCAAAAGGTCTTGCTCTGTCCTCTGAGTGCTGTTTGCATCTCATTGTGACCCTGAGTTTGAGCAAGTCACTAGACTCTGCATCTATTTCCCCTTCTTTGAAATTGTGAAAATAAAAGTGATATGTGCTTAGTTGTGAGGGCTAAATGGGATATTACACGTGAAATGCTGAGAGCAGTGTCTGGCACATAGTAAGAGCTTAGTAAATGTTATCAATTATTATTACCTTTTATAAAAGAAGAAACTGGGATTCGGAGAAGTTACAGATAATCAGCTAGTAGTTCATGTGACCAGGTTCAGCCAAGGGCTGCCTCATGCCTTAACTGCAACTTTTCCTTTTACATATAAAACTCTCACATTTTAAATCCTTATTCACTTAACTTCTTACAAGTCAAATGTTGCATTTAACTTGAGTGCGGCTCCCAGACTTCAGTTAGATTAGCCTTATCTGGAGCCACTGTTCAGAGCCTGGGAAACCCTGAATCCATGACCATAATTTACTAGCTCCATGACATTGAGCAAGTTTATTTAATGTGGCTAAGCTCATGTAGCATTTATTTACATATATCCGTGTCCTCCTATCCGTGTCCTCCTCTGCAAAATAGGAAGGTTCCAAAGATTAAATAAGATGATGTCTTTTAAGTGCTTATCATAGTGCCAAGGCAGTGCTTAATCGATGCTATACAAATCCACTATTCATCTTTGAAGAGGATTTTTATTATAGGAAACATTAATACAGTTTTAGAGAGAGGAAGTTTTAGGCAGAGTTAGATATTTGTGCCCTTATGTAAGGATTCATTCTTTTTTTTTTTTTTTTTTTGAGATGGAGTGTCACTCTGCTGCCCATGCTGGAGTACAGTGGTATGATCTTGGCTCACTGCAATCTCCACCTCCTGGGTTCAAGCAATTCCTTCCTCAACCTCCCAGGTAGCTGGGATTACAGACACCAGCCACTGTGACCAGCTAATTTTTGTATTTGTAGTAGAGATGGGGTTTCACCATCTTGGCCAGGCTGGTCTTCCGATCTCGTGATGTACCCGCTTTGGCCTCCCAAAATGCTGGGATTACAGGCATAAGCCACTATGCTCAGCCCTATTCATTTCTAAAAAAATGCTTCAAGTGTTCATTTTTCACTAGTGAGAGCACAACTATAAAAGGTTTCTAACAAAATTTCTGAAATGATTGCTTCCCTCCTGAAATGCCTAGACACTTTCCTTGTCATGGCAGGGCAAAGGAGCCTGGGCCATAGTTCATTGTGCATAGATAGTTTTTTGATGAAACTTTCTCCATGTCTTTCCTCTGAATTTGTAGCCCATGCCGGAACTGCTGTAGGAGGCGTCATCTTCTTCTTCACTTACCTCCCATACCCATACCTCATGTTCAGCTACATCCAGAGAAGCTACTTCCAAAAGATTGCCTGTTGCCTGTTCTCAAATGTTGCCATGGCACTGGGAGTCCGATTCATTGCTATATTTGAGGAAAGAGGTAAGCCTTATCTTTCCCAGACTCTCTAAACTGCCTTGATGCTTTGCCCCTTCAAGGCTGAATTTTGTTTCCCAATAAACATAACTAGCATGTCCCATTCAGTGGTCTAAGCATTTAGAGCATACTCGCAACTGTGGTGGATATTGTGTGGGGCACTAAAGAAAAGTAGAATATGGTTTACCCCAGGCAGCTTACTTTGTAATTGGGGAGAAAAACTAAAGCATATTAAAGAATTAGGAAATTATATGCCTATATAATTATATAGCTAAAAAAATAGATTTATGATTATATAAGTTGAGATAATATTTTAGGACTTTACAAATCATGCTACATTTTTTTACATGTATTATTGCCTTTGGAGTCTCTTCTTTTTGTTTTTCTTTGAGATGGTCTCACTTTGTCATCCAGGCTGAGTTACAGTGGCACAATCATAGCTCACTGCAGCCTTGAACTCCAGGACTCAAGTGATCCTCCCGCTTCAGCCTCCCAAGTAGCTGAGACCACAGGTGGGTGCCACCATGCCCAGCTCATTAAAAAAATTTTTTTTTTTTTTTTGGTAGAGACAGGGTCTTAGTATTTTGCCCAGTCTGGCCTTGCCCGAACTCCTGGGCTCAAACAGTCCTTCTGCCTTGGCCTCCCAAAATGCTGGGATTATAGGTGTGAGCCACCATGCCTGGCCTGGGGTATCTTCTTTCACAGGTTAGTATAGGGGACCTTCCGTGAGAGGTGTTCTAGCTCCCTTATGACGTCCACAGTTGGAATGCAGTCCCAACTTTTCATTTGTCTTATGTTTCTCAAATTTGAAGAATTACTGAAAACATTTACAATTTGTTGCAAAAGATTACAGCCCAAATATCAATCAAATTGTAGGACCCACTGAGCCCTGTGGGGTTTTAGTTGTTACTATTTCCAGTTTCGGTGGTACTTTAAGATGATATACTGTGAGCACTCTAGCAGGCACCTTCGTTACTCAGTGTTAGCTGGTCTCACCAGAATTCTGCTTCCAAATGTTACAGCTTCATTTAGCAGCACATAGCAGGAATAGGAGTTTGAAATTGGATCTAGTTTGTGGATCACTTTGCTGTGGTTGGGATATCCCCAATGACCTGGTTAGAGGTATTACCTACTAATGAATTCTTTAAGCTGGCATGGCCCAAATGGCTTTGGGCTTAAAGCTGTCCAAAATATAATAAAGGATGTTAAATTGGCCAGAATTTATTGAAAGTAAGTGGTTTCCTTTAACAAAGCAATGGTGAAACTACAATTTACAAGTGTTCATGGGAACAAATAGATTTTAAATGCTATATATGATTCCTTATAGGTTAGTGAGTAATTTGTGGGGCCTATATGTTGAAAGTTGAAAGAATTTAGGTGACAGGTTGCAATGAATGAACTCTTAGATTTGCCCCCACTCTAGTGTTCTCTTGGTTTGAAAGTACCCTGCCCTTGTAGAGCTTGTGATCAGTGTCCCTCCTGAAAGGCACAGGGTGGTTCACAAGTGCTGTCTCCTGTTACAGCTGAAGGAACACAGATGCATATGATCATGAGCAGGAAGAAATCTCTAAGTGTGTGATTAATGAAACAGAAATCCAAGGATTACTCAGATCATCTCGCCTATTGAAAATAATTAAAAATATGGGCTAAATTTTTAGTTTCTTAAGAGCATCCCTCAAGAGAACCAAAGTGGTAGCACAAGATAGTAAAGAACCACCAGGCCAAAACCTCAGGCAAACTGGTGACTCTAAAAGGTGAACAGAATACCAAGCCACTTTTTCTCAGAGGTCACTTACTAAAAGGAAAACTTGGGGCTTCCCTTTGGATGGCCTTTCAGGACAAGGGAATCAGACATCAAAGCCCAGGATTTAGCCTAGGTAGAGAGCATGCTAGGAGACCCTCTCCACATTAATCTGGGACCCAGAGGGCTACGCCTTAGGATAAATATAACTCAGAAATAAATCCAATCATCACAGTTTTGGTTCTTTGTGATACAGACTGTGAAATGGAATTTAGTGTGCAAATGTTTATTAGGGAGTGCCCTTCAGATAACACCTGTGGAGAAGAGTAAGGAAAGGGGAAGAAGAAAGACAAGCAGAGAGAAAAGTCCAGCTGCAGTGTGGTCCTGACAGCCCTGAGGAGTTAGTTAAAGAGCAAAAATGGCCCACATGTGTCCTGCATTGGGCTGAAATGGCTAGGCCTTTACACCTCCATCAGTCACTGGATATGAGCTACCTAAGAAAGGGCATGACGTTGGGCTTGACACTTTGCAACTGAGACATCCCAAAGGGTCTGGCAGCTAAAAGCCCTCTGCCATAGCACTCCCAACAGAATCAGGGAAATACGTCTCCATATCCATATACCATCTCTTCCTAACCCAGAGGACCTCAGAGAAGGTTGTCATGGCCCTTACCATATCATGGAAGAAAAACAAAGAAAAAATTTCCCCTGAGAAATTATTAGCTAGTTCTTTGGAGGTATTGCAGTCCAGATTCATATTGCATGAGTAGGCCAGGTAAGTTTAAGCAGTGAACTGATTTAAGATTGTCCTGGAATGATAGAGCACCCACCTAGGTACCAGGCAGAAGCAACTGCACATCCTTTCTGGAGGAAGACCTTTTCATCCTATGCCATGGTAAATCCTCACAAATAGTTTTTCAAGGTCAATAAGCAACACAGTAAAAAGTAATTAAAGATATGAGAAGGAAGGATCAGTAGGCTCACTAGACAGTTGGAAAATAAAAAAATAAAATAAAAAATAAAAAAAAAAAGATATGAGGAGGCCTGGCACAGTGGCTCATGCCTGTAATCCGGCACTTTGGGAGGCCAAGGTGGGCGGATGACGAGGTCAAGAGATCAAGACCACCCTGGCCAACATGGTGAAACCCCATCTCTACTAAAAATACAAAAATTAGCTGGGTGTGGTGGCGTGCACCTGTAGTCCCAGGTACTCGGGAGGCTGAGGCAGGAGAATTGCTTGAACCTGGGAGGTAGTGGTTGTAGAGAGCCGAAATCCTGCCACTGTACCCTAGCCTGGTGCCTGGTGACAGAGCAGGACTCTGTCTCAAAAAACAAAAAAGATATGAGGAAATAAACCACCATAATGAGAACTAACAGAAACAGAAGAAAGTAGAAACAGATTCACAAAGGCCTCAAATTTTTTAATTATCAGAACACAGATTATAAAACAATGCCTTTAAGCTTTTTAGAAAGGGAAGCTTGAAAAATATCTACAGGAATAGGAATAGGAACTATGAAAAGTGACCTGGAAAGTATGAAAAAGGTGGAAATAATAAATACTTCTAGAAATGCAAAGTGCAATAACAAGGTTTAAAACTTAGTGGATAGGTTAACAGATCTGAAACAGCTGAAAAGAGAATTAGCAAATTAGAAATAAGTTAGAGGAAGTAATCCAGACTGTTGCATAGATGATAAAAAAGATGTAAAATATGGAAGATAGTTTGAAAGAGACATGCAGAAAAGAGTAGAGTAGGACTCACATGCATTTAATCAGAGCTTCAGTAGGAAGAGAAAGAGAGAGTGGGGCACAGGGAATGTATTGAAAGAGACAGGCCAAATCTGTTCTAAAACTAGATTTCAGGAAGCCCAGCAAATCTCAAATAAGATTAATAAAAAGAAACTTTACACTAGGCATACCCATGTAAAACTGAGCGCACCAGAGGTTGAGAAAAAAATCTTAAAAGTAGCCCAATAAAAAAAAGACAAACTGATTTTTAAAGGCGCAATAGTGGCTGATCGTGGTAGTGGCTGATCGTGGTAGCTCATGCCTGTAATCCCAGCACTTTGGGAGGCCCAGGCAGGTGGAGCACCTGAGGTCAGGAGTTTGAGACCAGCTTGACCAACATGGTGAAACCCTGTCTCTACTAACAAGATAGAAAAATTAACCGGGAGTGGTGGCAGGTGCCTGTAATTCCAGCTACTTGGGAAGCTGAGGCAGGAGAATCACTTGAACCCAGGAGGTGGAGGTTCCAGTGAGGTGAGATTGCACCATTGCACTCCATCCTGGTCAACAAGAGTGAAACTCCAACAAAAAAAAAAAAAAAAAAAAAGCCATAGTGGGAGCCTGAAAACAATGGTATTTTATATTGACTGTATAAAATAATAATGATAATAAAAACAAAGATGTCTTTGGGTTTTTTTAAAGGGGTAGAATTAAAATACATAAGAGGGGTTTTTGAGGGTATAAAGTCAGAAATCAAAAGGGAATAAATACTTTCTGGAAGGATAGTAGAGATACTGATTAACTTTAGACTTTGCTAAGTAAAGTATACATGGTATAATTCATTACCGTGAGACACCCACCAACAGTCTAGACGTAGTGCATAACTTTCAAACTAGTGGAAAGAAAATGTAATAACCGATAGATTAGTTGAGTCAAAAAGAAGGTAAAGAGTAGGGAATGGAGAGGAATTATGTCACATGGCCACCTCTACTCCAAAGGAAACAGAAATCAGGAACAGGATTGTCATACTCAATTTAGAACAAGATCAGACAGATGTGGGGCTAAGGCGAGTTTGCCAAATTCCTTTCAGCAGCTCCCTGCTCTGAAACATAATGAGATATACTGTGGAAAGAGGTAATATCTAACTTCTATTCAATCCAGATTTCAGCAGTTTATTTTTCTTTTCTATTTTTTTTTGTTCTTTTTTCAGCGTTAATTTTTGTTTATTTATTTTGAGACAGAGTCTTGCTCTATTGCCCAGGCTGGAGTGCAGTGGCACAATCTAGGCTCACTGTGACCTCTGCTTCCCGGATGGAAGGGATTCTCCTGCCTCAGCCTCCCGAGTAGCTGGGACTACATGCGTACGCCAACACGCCTAGCTAATTTTTTTGTATTTTTAGTAGAGATGGGGTTTCACCATGTTACCCAGGATGGTCTTGATCTCCCGACCTCATGATCCACCTGCCTGGGCCTCCCAAAGTGCTGGGATTACAGGCATGAGCCACCACGCCCAGCCCAGCAGTTTATTTTTTAATGGAACTTGATTTGATTCTAAAATTTATGTAGAAGTGTAAAGGAACAGAAAAAAGAAAAAAAAAAAAAAAAAGACCAGACAAGTAGACAAGTGCATTGTTATATATTAGAGAAGATACTACAGAACGATGGGGATTCAATAAATGGTCCAGTGGCCACTGGATAACTTTATGGAGCAAAATGAAATCAGACTCTTAATTCACACCATACAGAAGCCAATTCTAATTTCAAAAAACTATAAAGCTTTTTGGAGATGATATAGAAGGGTATACTGATGTCCATGAAGTAGGAAGGATTGCTTAAACAAGACACAGAAATAACTATAAAGGGAAAGAATGAAAAATTTGATAATAAAATTAAGGCTTTGCAAAGAGAAGGAAAAGACGAGCTAGAGGGGGAGAAGATGCTTGCAACACACTGAACTGACAAAAGACTTACATTCAGAATGCTTAAAGATCTCATGTAAATTCATTAGAAATTTGATTTTGTGGTTTAAAAAATGGGCAAAAAGTCTCACACCTGTAATCACAACACTTTGGGAGGCCAAGGCAGGTGAACTGCTTGAGCTTAGAAGTTCAAGATCAGCCTGGGCAACTTGGCAAGACCCGTGTCTCTACTAAAAATGCAAAGTAATAGCCAGGCATGGTGGTGTGTGCCTGTGGTTCCATTTTCTTGGGAGGCTGAGGTGGGAGGATTGCTTGAGCCCAGGGTGCAGAGTCTGCAGTGAACCGAGATTACATCACGGACAGGGGTCTTGGCATGTTGTCAACTCAGAATTCTACACCCAGTGAAAATATCTCAAAAATTATAGAGAAAGACTCTCTCAAATAAACAAAAACTGAGAGAATTAAGTGCTAGCAGATGTGAGCTCTTCAGGCACAAAGAATCAGACCAGACAAAAACTTGGTACAAACAAATTAAGAGCACTGAAAATGGAAAACACGATTTATTTTTTCTATTTTTTTTTCTTTTTGCTTTAAAGGAGAGCTGACTGTCTAAAGCAAAAATAGTAGCAATAAATTGTGTTTATAGCTTATGTAAAAGTAAAATGTCTAACAATCATAGCATAAAGTTTGGGAGGTAAGAACTGGGAATGTATTGTTGTGAAGTCCTTATACTATACATGAAGGAGTATAATATTATTTTAAGATAAACTCTGACTAATTAAAGGTATATATTGTAAACCTTAAAGCAACACTAAATTTTTTTTTGAGATGGAGTCTTGCTCTGTCACCCAGGCTGGAGCGCAGTGGCACTATCTTGGCTTACTGCAACCTTCACCTCCTGGGTTCAAGCAATTCTCCTGTCTTAGCCTCCTGAGTAGCTGGGACTACAGGCATGCGCCATCACATCCGGCTAATTTTTGTATTTGTAGTAGAGATGGAGCTTCCTCATTTTGGCCAAGCTGGTCTTGAACTCCTGACCTCAAGTGATCCGCCTGCTCAGCCTCCCAAAGTGCCGGAATTACAGGCATGAGGCACCATGCCTGGCTTATACTAAATGTTTTTTAAGTTTAAATAGTAAGTCAATAGTGGTGATAAAATGAAATCCAAAAAATTCTCCATTAATGCAAGAAAAGCAGAAAAAGAAAAAAAAAAAAAGAACACTTCAGAACAAATAGAAAAAAAGCTGGCAAGATGATATATTTTAATCCAGACCATCAGTAATCACACTAAATGTGAGTGATCTAAACATACCAATTAAGAGCAGGTTTAATTGAAAAGCAAAACCCAACTATATGGTGCCTTGTTAACATCAGTAGGCTGGGTGCAGTGGCTCACGCCTGTATTTCCAGCACATTGGGAGGCTGAGGCAGGTGGATCACTTGAGGTCAGGAGTTCGAGACCAGCTTGGCCAACATGAGGAAGCCCCATATCTACTACAAATACAAAAATTAGCCGGGCGTGGTGGCGCATGCCTGTAATCCCAGCTGAGACAGGAGAATTGCATGAAACCAAGTGGCGGAGATTGCAATAAGCTGAGATGGCACCACAGCACTTCTGGCCTGGGCAACAGAGCTAGAATCCATCTAAAAAAACAACAACAACAAATAAAACCATCAATATAAGGATGGGGTGTGCACATTTGGGATTTGGGGGTGATTTGCATAATAATTTTTCATAGGTATGTTATTTATAATTGTTAAATTGTACACTTTTCTATATGTATATTCGCAATAAATAAAAATAAACTGACAATCAAGTGTCTACTGATGTGGGAAGGAACTTTGTCTATGTCTTCTGTTTGGACACTGCATACTTTGTATTGGATGAGGAAGTACCTGACCTTTGTGAACGTTAGGCTGCAGCTTTGGAATCCGGAGGTGTGCAAGATGTGTTTACAATCCAAAGATAGAGCAAAAGGCAGAGTTCTTGGTGGGCACACAGACAGACACACATCAGAGAATCTCATCACTGAAAGAGCCTTGGAGGTCACCTGGCCCTGCTCCTCATAGTGTGATCTGCAGACCAGCAGCATCAGCACTCCCACAGATCTTGTTAGAAACGCAGAATCCCAGGTCCACCCGAACAGATCTCATCAGAATCTGTGTGTTAACAAGATCCCCAGCAATTAGGAAACTTGTTAAAAGTTTGAGGACAAGAAGCATGGGTACACGTGCTTCTTGGGTAAGGAACTGTCCGTGCTGATCTCTGAAATAAGAATTAGCCAAGCAAAGAAGCTGCTGAACAGTGGGAAAATGCTGCTGTAGCAGGTGCAGATGTGTGGAGATGTGTTTTGGATAGCCTAATTCTTACTTCTTGGTGCCAATGAAAGTACTACCAACTTTTGACAATAATAAAAGTGTTTTATCTTCCAGGAGAGACTTCTCTAGCTTTTCCTTTCCCTGTGGCTAGCGCTGGCCCCACAAGGCCTCAGACACAAATAGTCTAGTCTTGTCATAGGCCTGTTTCATGACGAACTATAAATTTCTGGTAACTCTTCTCTGTTGTTTTGGTTTTTTTGTTTATTTGTTTGTTTGTTTGATACTGGATCTGTCTCTGTTCCCCAGGCTGGAATGCAGTGGCTATTGACAGGCATGATCACTGAATGCACACTATAGCCTTGACCTCCTGAGCTCAAGCTCTCCTCCCACCTCAGCCTCCTGAGTAGACTATAAGTGTGTGCCACCATGCCCAGCTTCTTCTCTGTCTTAGATGTGATGAGTGATGTTCTTCCTTTATAACAGGCACAGGCATCCAATGGAGGAATATGGGCAGTGTACGTGGAGAGTTTAACTTCACTCAGGTGCTGCTGCTGCTGCTGCTGGACTCTTTCTTATACTGCTTAATAGCCTGGTATGTGGAGTCCATCTTTCCAGGGAAGTATGGTATACCCAAGCCTTGGTACTTCTTTGCTCTGGTGAGTATTGATGCTGCTGTTTTGTAGGTTGACATTAGACTTTTTTGCGTGTGTCATCAATATTCCTACTCCTCTTGGTGTTGTCTTCAGTAAAATGTCAAACTCAGGAAATCTCTAACCTGGGTTCGTCCCAAACCTATCAGCTGTGGTTACCAGTGGAGCGTAACTAATGGTATGTCTCAATGTCTCTGACTCTGGCCTCCCTGCTCATGCACTGGGCTGGGAGTAGCTCCATCTGTCCCATGCAGAGTCCCCCCCAAGGAGTGTCTGTAGATGTCTGACATGTGTCTACTCAAACATCAGGCCCCACATTCTCTCATGAGACCTAATTCTCAACATGCTAGAGTCCTCATGCTGCCTCTTTCCCCAATGAGCTGCACTGTTGGGATGGCCCTGAAGCTCTTCAAGACCTCTGTGACCATCAGTACACTGGCAGGGGACAGAGCATTTGTTAACAACCCCAGGAAGTTTTCAGAATCACTTATTTCCCATGATGACCAAGTTTTTCTTACAAAGCTGAGCTCTTCGTGCCTGATTCAGTCCTCCTAAAGTAGCATCTGCTGGCCTTGCCCATGGGCTTGCCTGCTGATCCTGCCTCTGCACAAATACTCATTAGGATCTCTACAAAGGCTTCCACGCTCACCCTTCTTATAGTGTGGGGAAATGAGTAGATTGTTAACTCCAGTATTTATCCAGGCCTCTGCCCACAAGGACTATGAGTGCTGACAGGATGGCTTCCCTGGTACATCAAGAGCCTGGATAGGAGGCATCTTTTGTAGCTCCATCTTCAGGACCGTGGGTTGTAGGTTGAAATGCAGTTGATTCGTAATGAGTCCATGAACAAGTTGCTTAACTTCTCTGGGCAGGGGGCGGGGGTGTTCTAATATACCAAAATATCTTCCAGAAAGGGAAGTCACTTTGCCTAAATGATTAATGCATAAATTGATTTCCCCTCCAGCCCTCCTACTGGCATGGAAAGCCTGTACTTGTTACCCAATCACTGCTGGACATGAGGGGTCCTGTAAAAGCTCCAAACAGTGAGTTCATTCAGGAAGAGCCTACAGATTTGATCAAAGGAATTGAAATTCAGCATCTGTACAAGGTATCACCTCACAAACCTCCTTCCGAGAACTCCAGAAATTACGCATATAAGCTTCTGTTTTATTCTAACTGGGATTACAATGCACATTTTGTGACTGGGAATTTTAATTCCCTCTGTCATGCCGTCCTAAAAATTAGAAATATAACCTGAAATGTCCTGTTTTCTGTCATAAAGTTAAATGACTGGATGAAAGGCCTAGATGGCCTCTTTTTTTTTTTTTTTTTTTCTTTTTTTTTTATTTTTTGAGATGGATTTTCACTATGTTGTTTTGGTTGGTCTTGAACTTTTGGGCTCAAGAGATCCTCCTGCCTTGGCCTCCCAAAGTGCTGGGATTATAGGTGTGAGCCACTGCTCCCAGCCTAGATGATCTGTCTCTGGAAAACAGTCTCCTCTCATCCTCCCACTGCCTAATACCCCTTGTTAGGGATTAACTGTAATTCAGCCATTTGATGGATAACTTTAATCCACCAACATTTTTATATACCCAAATCACGTTTTAAGCCAGATATCACTGTTGGCTTCTCGATGTAGAAGTGGAGGCATTTGTTCTTTCACAAGTGTCTGCTGAGTCCTTGCTACATGCAGAGCCCTGGGTTGGCTAAGGACTCCTTTAACAGGATGGCTGGATGTAAGCTGGAGGCTCCCACAGAGCATTCGCTTTGAAATATTCCATTCTTCAGCTATGTAGGACACTCTGTGCCGTTGCTGCTGCCGCACTTGCACGTTGGATGCTCCAGCTCAGCACTGTGCTGCCTTCTGGTGGGATCCAGTAGATACCATCCTAGCCTAGGGGATTCTGGAAATGGGTGATAATTCCAGCTCCTCTGTGGACTACAGTTAGTAGTTAGGAATACTTGACTCCTCAGCCAACTTACTGTGGGGATGTTGTTTTCTTTTTTTTATAAGAGACGCAGTCTAGCTCCGTTGCCCAGGTTGGACTGCAGTGGCGTCATCTCAGCTCACTGCAGCCTCTGCCTTCCAGGTTCAAGCGATTCTCCTGCCTTAGCCTCCTGAGTAGCTGGGATTACAGGTGCGCGCCACCACATCTGGCTAATTTTTGCATTTTTAGTAGGCACAGGGTTTCACCATGTTGATCAGACTGGGCTTGAACTCCTGACCTCATGATCCAACCACCTCAGCCTTCCGAAGTGCTGGGATTACAGGCATGAGCCACTGCGCCCAGCCTGTTTTTTTTTTTCACATAACTAGTGGTCTGCCAGCAGATGATTCTGGCATGATTTCAGCTGCTCCACAAAAGCATTCCAGACCACAGCACCTTCTGATTGATTGATTGCTTGATTGATTTTCCCTGGGTCATTCGTAGCCTATTAGCTTTCATCTGTGTGTTTATCATTTCGTGGTTGCAAGATGGCTACTTGGCTCTCCTATAAGGAAAGATAAAGTTTAAAATGCTTCCTTTTGGCAAGAATTTTCCCTCCCTCTTTCTTTCCTTCCTTCCTTCCTTTTCCTTCTTTCTGTCTTCCCTCCCTCCCTCCCTCCCTTCCTTCCTTCCTTCCTTCTCTTTAATATAATAGAGTACCCCTTTTTCTTATTGCCCAGAATTCTGCCAAATGGTCACCTCTACTGTAAGTATAACTGAGAAGTCAGGGAACAGGACTGTCATGCTTGATTTAGAACAACTGAGAAAAGGCTGGGTGCAGTGGCTCATGGCTGTAATCCCAGCACTTTGGAAGGCCAAGGTAGATGGATCACCTATGGTTATGAGTTCGAGACCAGCCAGGTCAATGTGATGAAACCCCATCTCTACTAAAAAAATATATATACAAAAATTAGCCAGGTGTGGTGGTGTGCAGCTGTAATCCCAGCTACTCTGGAGGCTGAGGCACAAGAATCACTTGAACCCAGGAGGCAGAGCTGCAGGGAGCTGAAATTGCGCCACTGCACTCCAGCCTGAGAGACAGAGTGAGACTTCAACTTAAAAAAACAAAAAAGAGAAAAGATGTGAGAGTAGGGAGGGAGAGCTTACCAAATGCCTTTCAACAGCTCTCTGCTCCCAAATGTAAGTACAGTTGACCCTTAAACAACATGATTTAAACTGCTCAGGTCCACTTATATATTTGTTTCAACCAAACACAGTTTAAAAATTCAGTATTTAGGGGAATTTGAAACCCGCGAATACAGAGGGCCGAGCAACTTTTTGAGTTGGTGGGTTCCCAGGACTTCAGGGGACTGCCTCTAGGACCAAGTTTGAGTACACATGGATTTTGGTATATGCAGAGGTCCTGGAAGCAGTCCGCCGTAGATGCTGAGGGATGACTATAGATGGATTGTGGAAGAAGTGACAACTAAATACCATCCAACTATAGTATCTGGACTCCAGACCCCAAACCCAGCCCCAATGCCATTAGACAGGACACAAATAATCTAAAGCGTATACTATAATGTGATGCTATCTCTGGGATGTACTGTAGGATTTTTATTTTCTTCTTTTTACTCAATGTACGAATTATTTGCATAATAGGAAAATCAATGGTATTTAAAATACTGGAGACATTTAACTTGAAAAACAGGCTACTCTGTCTGGGATTCCCTCCTCACATCAACACCTCCTGCAAAAGAGGCAAGGTGCCTTTCTCAGGGGCTCAGCTGGGTTACACTAAGCAGGTTCTGGCTCCAGAAGCAGAGAGGAGTGCCTTTCATGCCACCACACTGCATCTGGGAGCTCCCAGCCCTCTGGTTCAGGTTCTCTACACCAGGTTCCAGGGAACAGGAAGAAAATCCCCATGGAAATTACTCCTTCCACTTGGATTCCTGCTGCTGAGCTTTTAAGAGAAGTTATGTATGTGTGCAGCCTGTCATAAGCTCTTTAGAAATGTCATTCTTGTGTTCAGGTTACACTGTCAGTCAACCTTGACTTTTCCACAGGTATATCACAGAGGAGGGACTAAACACATAGCAGTTAACTGTCTGACCATGAACATGTACAGAGGGCAGATCACTGTTCTTCTGGGACACAACGGAGCAGGAAAAACCACCACTTGCTTCATGCTCACAGGTACATGTGTGGGGTCAGCCATCCTGAGGAAGTCCTGAAAAAAATCATTGAACATATCTATATCTAGATTTTTTGTTTCACCTCCTCTCATTAGATTTCACTGATATTTTAATATTAAGCATTGCTTGTTGCTTAATATTAAAATATCAACCGTCTGGTTGTTCATTTGCCCTGCACCAGGAAAAGGAAATCTTTGGCTTTCGAATCTGTAAAACTTTATACCATTACTATCAAGAAGCTCTGATCATTCAACCTGAAGAAACTGATGAAAAAAAAGAGAACCTATGAACAGTGCTTAGCATTTCTTTCTAGATTTAACCTTCCTGTTACAATGCAGCACCACTAATCTCTCAACACAATAATCTTTCCATTTGCTTCTGATTGCCACGGGCACTTTTAGAATAATATCTGGTGAATGACTCCAAAATGATTTGTGTTTCAGAGTAATTTTTATGCTAAAATAACTGTTTCATATCCCATCAACTAAAATAATATTTTGTGAAATTTAGAAACTCCTTTATTTACGAAATGTAAATTTATTGAAGTCTTAACATGTGTAAAGCTCCGTACAATGCCAGCAAGATGCGCTTTCAATCCACAAGAAGCTCTAAAAGCTAACTAGTTCCCCCTCAATGCACACAGAACATTAAACTGCTGGGAAGGTATTACACCTCAAAGTTAAGCTGCCCTGATGCTCCTCATATGTGGCTGATGATCCTTCCACTGAAGGCATTTGAGGAGCAGCAAAATAGTGAAGATGGACCAGAGGTGCCTTTGGGCACCCCTCTGGTATCAGCGCTTTAAATACCAAATCTTGGCTGGGTGCAGTGGCTTATGCCTATAATCCCAGCGCTTTGGGAGGCCAAGGCGGGTGGATCACAAGGTCAAGAGATCCCTGATCAACATGGTGAAACGCCGTCTCTACTAAAACTACAAAAATTAACTGGGCATGGTGGCGCACACCTGTAGTCCCAGCTACTTGGGAGGCTGAGGCAGGAGAATTGCTTGAACCCAGGAGGCAGAGGTTGTGGTGAGCCGAGATTGCGCCATTGCACTCCAGCCTGGGTAACAAGAGGGAAACTCCATCTCAAAAAAAACAAAAACAAAAAGCAAATCTCAGCCTAGCAGGCACTTACCAAGCAGGCCTGTACCCATCAGGACTGGGGCACAGCAGTGTTTCTGAAAGGATAGTCTTCTTTCAGATATAGACATTGTTGCTCCTGATAGGGTTGACCATTTAGGAAAGGCCTCTCCCCCTATATAGGCCTGTGAGGTTCTCACTGCCTGAAGGGTGAGCTGGCTAGGCTAAGAGATCAAAGAGCCAAGTCAGATATGTGTGTGAGTTATTCTGTCTCCCCCTCATCCCTCTCCCCAGGGAGCCTGTTCTGTTTACTTCTGGATCCACGGTGTCTGAATAGTATTTGGCACAGAATAGGCATTCCATAAATATCATTGAATGAATGACAGAATTGATTAATACAATTGCAAATACTGCCAAAATGCAGACTGGGAATGATATATCAGAGCTCTGCCATGGATTTCCACCAATGGTGACATGACATAAAAAAAGCTAACACTGCCCTAGGGAAAGTGTCATCACTAAAGCATGCGTAATGGGATTCTGTAGCCTTGAAGATGCTAAAGCTGGGAAGGAAAATCTGGCTAATTGCCTAGGACATCAGACAGCAAAGAGCTGCTATTTCGTAACTGGTGATAGAAAGGCCCAAAACTTGGCACAGGCATGTTTTGTATCTTAGACCCTGTTTCTCTGTCCTCTAAAGTTATGCAGCTTTTTTGGTTCTTTTATGAGTGCTATTTAGTTCTTCTTTTATTGTAACTTTACATTAAAAGACCTGTTATATTTACTACACAATAGTATTAGCTTTTCCCCTTTTTACCCCCAAACAATCATGGATGCTTTCTCATTCACAGCCGAAATGGAAGATCTGACAACCAGAGGGTAATCTGGCAATAAGTATCAAAAGTCTTTTAAGTCTTGTCCTGTCTTTGACTTGCCAAATCTGCTTATATTGATTTAGAATAAGGAAATAATTGGGAAGCAGGCAAAGTTATATCATATGTTTATAATTGTGAAAATTGCAAATAACCTAAGCATCCATAAGTTTGGACTGAATCAAGAAATAGGGTATGTTGATAACAATAAAATCTTTTTCAGCCCTTAAAGATGATATAGGGCTGGATGCTGTGGCTCATGCCTATAATCTTTGCACTTTGGAAGGCAGAGGCAGGTTGATTGCTTGAGCCCAGGAGTTTGAGACCAGCCTGGGCAACATGACAAAACGCAGTCTCTACAAAAAATACACCCAAAAAATGGTGCACATGTGTAGTCCCAGCTACTGATATGGGAAGATCGCTTGAGCCCAGGAGATCAAGGCTGCAGTGAATCATGATGACACTAATGCCCACAGCCTGGGCAATAGAGCAAGACCCTGTCTCAAAGAAAGAAAAAAAAAACCAGTTAGAAAACTAGAATTTATATTTATATTCTTATTTTTGTTAAAAAATAAATGTATGAGTTGGTTATACATAAAAAATACCTAAGACTATGGGGCCGGGCGCAGTGGCTCAAGCCTGTAATCCCAGCACTTTGGGAGGCTGAGGAGAGTGGATCATGAGGTCCGGAGATCGAGACCAGCCTGGCCAACACGGTGAAACCCCGTCTCTACTAAAAATACAAAAAAATAGCCAGGCGTGGTGGTGGGCGCCTGTAATCCCAACTACTTGGGAGGCTGAGGCAGGAGAATCTCTTAAACCCGGGATTCAGGGGTTGCAGTGAGCGGAGATGGTGCCACTGCACTCCAGCCTGGGCGACAGAGCAAGCCTCCGTCTCAAAAAAAACAAAAAACAAACAAACAAACAAAAATACCTAAGGCTATATAGCAAAATGTTAACAGAAGTTATCTTTTAATGATAGGATTTGTATAACTTGTTTTATTTTTTTCTGACCTTGTTGCAATAAGAACTTATTGCCTTTTTCAACCAGAAAAAAAACTTAGAAAATGAGAATAAAGACAATGATAGTATTCGGGTAGGCAGGCTGCAAAATTTTACACTGGCATACATTTGGCAATGAGAGCATTCATTCATTCATTTATTCATTCATTGAACAGATACTTATTAGGAATCAGAGATAAGTCATAGACCTTGCCTTCAGGGATCTCAATTCAAAACTGTTAGATTCCCACAATATTTTTCTTAATCATATTTACTAGGCATTCAAATTATTATTTAGTACTTAGAGTAATGTAATTTGCTTTTACATGTGCCTATGTGTGTTTTATTCATCTAACTCATTGGAATTTCTCAAAAGTAGGGAGGATAGCTCTTATCTCTAATACTCCCCACATGTCCTGGTACATTGTTATGCATAGAACATACATACTTTTTGGATACTACTGATTTACTGTGGTAAAGAAGCAGAATAAGGACAGTGTGTGTGAGAACAAGTGAACAAAGCAGAAGGTAACATCGGGCCTTTATGCTGCTGTATGCTGTGACTGAAGATAACTTCAGGATCTGTCTTCCCCTTGGTTCTAGGTCTTATTCCCTCTACAAGTGGCTGGGCATATGTCAATGGATATGAAATCTCAGAAGACATATTTCACATTAGGAAGAGCCTGGGCTGGTGCCCCCAACATGATATCTTATTTGATAACTTAACAGTAGCAGAACATCTTTCTTTCTATGGTCAGGTGAGTTGATGGATAACAGGGATTTGTTTCCTCTGTATCCCCTCTTGGGAATGATGAGATAGACTACAGCTCTCTGAGTCAACCTGGAAGGGCCTTTAAAATGAAAACTTGTGTTTCTCTATTCTCAACACTTCTGACACCAAATGTATTTGGAGTTTTCCCACACCAACCAATTCTCCAACTCTCCAGATAGCAACTAGGTGTCCTATAATTCCATTCTTTTGAGTGTGTGTGTGTTTGTAGTAGAGACGGGGTTTCACCATGTTAACCAGGATGGTCTCGATCTCCTGACCTTGTGATCCACCTGCCTCAGCCACCCAAAGTGCTGGGTTTACAGGCATGAGCCTCCGCACCCGGCCCCTACAATTCAATTCCTATGCTGACTACCTAAAGTTAATGCAGACTCCGCAGGTTTAGGGCTCAGTCTCATAAGATTGTCCCCGAACCCAGACTTCAGATGTCAGTTGCAGGTGCCAAGTTTTTACCTGTACTTCTGACCAACTGGCTATCATTTGGGGTTCTTACAACCCCTTCCTTAGGTTTGATAATTTGTTGCAAGGGCTCACAGAATGCTTTATTGTAGAGGGTATTATAAAGGATACAGATGAACAACCAGATGAAGAGGTACATAAGACAAAGTATGTAGAAAGGTGTAAGGCACGTTGGGAGCCAGATGTAAGGCTGAGTGCCCCACAGCGTCGTAGGGTGAGCCTTATGCTGTGCTGAGGTGCAGGATCCAAGAAATAAAGAGACAGGACACAGAAGTACAAAGAAAATGCAGCTGGGCTTGGGGGGCCACACCACCTATAAGCGGCTAGCAGCTGGTGAGGTGCCTGGAGAGGCTGGTGAGCGGCTGGTGAGGCCCCGAATGCCCAGAAGCATGAGTATTTATTGTGTATAGGTTAAGGGGTAGGGCAGTGAGTGAAATCATCTTTAAGGTTAGTGATAGGGTCATGAGCAATAAAACATAGGGTCCACCCCCATTAGGTCACCTAGGCCAGGAGGTGGACAGCACGCAGCAAAGGGCCCGTTCCCACGAAGGCAAGGGCCCTGTTCCCATGAAGGCAAGGGCCATGTGCAGTAAGGGGTGTTGTGTGCGATACTTCTATCTATGGGAAACTACTTCTAAGAAGATTTATGGGAGGATGCTTTAAGTCACATAGCAGTGACAGAGCTGTCAAGGTTAGCGCCACCTTCTGGCAGCTTCCAATGGATTCTATGAGAAGATGCTTTTCAAGCAGCACAGTAGCAAGAGCTGATAAAGTTCACAGTCACCAAGGTGGATTGCCGTTCTGAGGGCAGCCTTCCACAAGAACTGGAGCAAGGTCCTACAACTCCTTTATCAGGAGGAGTGGCCCTCACCCCAAGCCTGCCATACAGCTGGTATCTTTACGATACTGAACGCTGCCGCCTGGGCCATGGATTCTTGTCCTGGTGTAACTGTTTTCCCTTAATTCAAGCTCTGCACTGTATCTGCTCTAGGCATTTCTCAGATTATAAGCTACTTATTCCTTAATTCATGCTCTGTACTGTGTCCACTCTAGGCATTCCTCCAATTATGAACTAAGATATAATTATAGGTATATATGTAGGGAAATATTCTTTAGGCACTCATACTATCAACTATTATATGATTATATATAGAGGGTTATATAAAGGGAACCTTCAAGCCCTGTTTCTATAAACTAATATATGATTATGTAAAGGAAATATAAAGGAAATAGCTGAGTAGTAACACTATAAAGTGAAATATTCCTCAAGCCCTAACTGTGCCAGGGCTCTGCTTAGCTCTCATTCCTCGGTGCCTATATGGGGGGTTACCCACAGAAAGGGGTGCATAGCTTCCATGCCCTGTCCTAGTATGCCACCCTGGCAGTACCTTACTGTGTTCACCAACCCAGAAACTCTTCAGAGCCCATAGTTTAGATATTTTTATACAGGCTCCATCATGTTGGGATGACCAATTATTAGCACAATCTCCAACCCCTCTCCCATTCCCTGAGGACTGGGGGAGGAGGCTGAAATTTCTAAGTTTTTTTTTTTTTTTTTGAGAAGGAATATTGCTCTGTTGCCCAGGCTGGAGTGCAGTGGCATGATCTTGGCTCACTGTAGCCTCCACCTCCCAGGTTCAAGCGATTCTTCTGACAGCCTCCTGAGTAGCTGGGATTACAGGTGCCCACTATCATGTCCAGCTAATTTTTTTTTTTTTTGCATTTTTAGTAGAGACAGGGTTTTGCCATGTTGGCCAGGCAGATCTCGAACTCCTGATCTCAAGAGATCCACCTGTCTCGGCCCCACAAAGTGCTGGGATTACAGGCATGAGCCACCACACCTGGCCTGAAATTTCCAAGCTTCTAAGCATGGCTTAGTCTTTCTGGTGACCAGCTCACATCCTGAAGCTATCCAGGAGCCCACCAAAAGTCGCCTTCCTAAAACAAAAAGATGCTCCTATCACTCAGGAAATTCCAAGGAATTTGGGAGTTCTGTGTAAGGAATCAAATCAATTATCAAATCAAAAATCAAATATTAGAACAAAAGATGCTTCTAGCAGCTCTGTCACTCAGGAAATTACAAGCACTTTAGGAGCTCAGTGCCAAGAACCAGGGCAGAGACCAACTATATATTTCTTATTATGTCACAGTCTTGAAACCTCTTCTGGACAGTATTCCTTAAACATTCAGTAAGGATGAAGGGGCATGGCATTTAAGTCAAGATTTCTGAGTTAAAGGATTTCTAGAAACTATTATATTTGAATTTTTATTGAAACAAAATTCACATAACATGAAATTCATCATTTTACAGGTTTTACAATGTTCAATTAAGTAGCTTTTAGTGTAATCCCAGTGTTTTCTGTTTTCAGTCTTACTCTGCTCCCCAGGCTGGAGTGTAGTAGCATGATCTTGGCTCACTGCAGCCTCCATCTTCTGGGTTCAAGCAGTTCTTGTGACTCTGCCTCCTGAGTAGCTGGGATTACATGCTCCTGTCACCACGCCCAACTAATTTTTTTTTTTTTTTAGATGGGCTCTTGCTCTGTCACCTCGGCTAGAGAATAGTGGCGTAATCTCTGCTCACTGCAACCTCCACCTCCCGGGTTCAAGTGATTCTCCTGCCTCAGCCTCCCGAGTAGCTGGGATTACAAGTGCGTGTCACCATGTCCGACTCATTTTTTGTGTTTTTACTAGAGACGGGGTTTCACCACGTTGGCCAGGCTGGTCTTGAACTCCTGACCTCATGTGATCCACTCACCTCAGCCTCCCAAACTGCTGGGATTACAAGTGTGAGCTACTGGGCATGGCCTCTAGATTGCTTTGGATAGTAATGTCATAGTAACAAAATTAAGTGTTCCAGTCTATGAACACAAAAGGTATTTCCATTTATTTCGGTCTTCTTTAATTTCTTTCAGCCATTTTTTACAGTTTCAGTGTACTTGCCTTTCTTGCACTTCCTTGGTTAAATTTATTTCTAAATATTTTGTCTTTTGTGATCCTAAGGTAAATGGAATTTATTTTTGTAATTTCATCTTTGGATTGTTTATTGCTAGTGTAAAGAAATACAACTCCCATTTGTATATTTATCTCATATCCTGAAATTTTCCTAGGCTCATTTATTAGCTCTAATAGCATTTTGTGGATTCTTTAATGTTTTCTATGAATAAGTTAATGTGATCTGCCAAGAGGTGATAGTTTTACATCTTTTCTTTCAGTCTGGATGACTTTTTTTCTTCTGGCTAATTTTCCTGGCTACAGCCTTCAGTAAAATGTTGAATAAAGTGGCAAGAGCAGACATCCTTGTCTTGTTCCTGATCTTTGGGGGGAAGCTTTCCGTTTCAGCATTAGGTGTGGTGTTGGCTGTGTTTTCTTCATAGATGCCATTTATCATGCTGAGGAAGTTCCTTTCCATTTCTAATTTACTGAATGTTTTCATCATGAAAGTGTGTTGGATTTTGTGAAATGCTTTTCTGTGTCTACTGAGAGCATTATGTGATTTTAGCCCTTCTGTCTGTTAATATGCAGTGCAGTTTGACCGTAACAATGGGCTGGGTATGGTGGCTCATGCCTGCTGCCTGTAATCTCCACTCTTAGGAAGGCAGAGGCAGGAGGATAGTTTGAGCCCAGGAGTTCATGACTTGCCTGGACAATATAGCGAGGAGACCCCATTCTCTGTGGAAAAAAAAAAAAAAGGAGAAAAAAAGACAAAAAAAAAGTGTGACTCTAACAATGGAGTTAGCATAGGCTTCACACATTAGAGGTATAGACCCCAACAATATTACCTCCACTTTAGAACCCACAAGCTTGGAGGTTCATAGACAAACAAAGCACTCTGATAAACTGGCTGCAGTTGTGGAGGTCCCACTATTCTCTCTGGCTTGTTAATTCACTAGAACTACTGACAGAACTCAGGAAAGTCCTACACTTATGGTTATAGTTCTATTCTAGAGGATACAATTCAAGACTGGCCAAAAAAGATAGCCACATGGGTGGGATCTGGGAGAGTCCCAAATGCAAAGCTTCTGTGTCCTTAGGATGTGGTACCCTCCTAGCACATTGGTGTCTATTGGGTAGCTCACCTAAGCTTTGAGTATCCAGTTTTTTGGGGGTTAGCAATGATTGAAGCATTGGCCATGTCCCTGAACTCCATCTCCAGCATTCTCTGCACAAGCCAGGAAACTGGGAGGCAGGCTGACATCACATTGCTCAAAGCCCCAACCTTCTAATCACACGGCTGGTCTTTGCGGTGTGACCGTCACACATCCTGAGTCACCTCGTTAGCATAAACACAGGCATGACGATGCGTGGGTGGGGCCCCACCAAGAGTAACAAAGATACTCCTATTACTTCAGAAATTCTAATCATTTAGAGGTTTCTTCCCAGGAATCAGGGACAAAGGCCAGGCAAGTTAACACTGGTTTTTCATATGTTTAGCCTCCCTTGCATTCCTGTGATAAATCCCACTTTGTTGTAATGAATAACCCTTTAACATGCTGCTGTATTTACTTTTTAACATCACATGTTTATTTACATGATTCAAATGCAAAAGTCTTTGTCCATCCCTTTCCCTGAAGGTAATGAGTTTCTTATATATGTTTTATGTATATGTATACACACAAGCAAAATGTTCACTGGCCAGGGTCAGCCTCCCATCAAGAGCCCTGCATCCCCCTGCTTCACCTGTCATTGCAGGTGAAGGGCCTGTCGCGCCAGAAATGCCCTGAAGAAGTCAAGGAGATGCTGCGAATCGTTGGCCTGGAGGACAAGCAGAACTCCCTGAGCCGCTTCCTGAGCGGGGGCATGAGGCGCAAGCTCTCCATCGGCATCGCGCTCATCGCAGGCTCCAAGGTGTGGCAGTGGGACTGGAGGCACTGGCTCCCCTCCTGCTTGGCCTGGGCTGGCCCTTCCGCCATGACCCAGGCACCTTGGCCCTTGATGCCCCAGACAAGGCCATCACCATCTTTGGAGGACTCGAGTTAGCTCTGTGAACCTCTTGATGGGGCCTGCAGCAAGTCCAGCCTGGGCCTGAGGGGGTGTGGCTCTATCAGCGTCATGATGCTGTGCCTCTCCCACCAGGTGCTGATACTGGACGAGCCCACTTCGGGCATGGACGCCATCTCCAGGAGGGCCATCTGGGACCTTCTTCAGCAGCAGAAACGTGACCGCACCATCGTGCTGACCACCCACTTCATGGACGAGGCTGACCTGCTGGGAGATCGCATCGCCATCATGGCCAAGGGGGAGCTGCAGTGCTGCGGGTCCCCGCTGTTCCTCAAGCAGAAATACGGTGAGCGGGGCCAGGCCGCCACAGGGTCAGTGTCCTGGCTGCTGTGCTGAGGGAATGACTGCTGCCTTCATGAATGGCCCTGAGATCAGGCAGGGGTGGCCTTCTCTAGACCTCCTGTCTATTGCCTCTGGGTGGAGAGCCCAGCTGGGCAGGGGAGCTTGTGAGAGGGAAGAGGCATGAGATATCTCTTGGACTCAGAAAACCATGTTTAAGTTACAATCTTTCAGTTGACTGCCTTGTCATCTACGTGGCCCTGTTAGTTTCTCCTTTCTTAGTCTTTGTTTTCAGATCTGTAAAATGAAGATTAAGATACCACGTTCCTCAAAGAGTGAGACACTGTGTGTGAAAGCATCCTACAAGTGTGAGTTTCATTTCCTCAACTGACTACAGCCTTTATCTGCACCCCTCTGCACTTGCCCCCTACTGTCCTTCTGCACCCCTGCTCTCTTGGCTCCTTCATGTCTCTGCTGTTGCTTTGTACCATTCCTTCCTCTGACCATCTTCACTTTTCTTTCTCTGCTCCCTGACTTAGTGATCTCATCCAGTCCCCTGTCTTTAAATATTCATACCTTCTCTGTGTGGAAAATCATGTGTGTCTCCAGCTTGGACCTCTCTCCCGAACCATAGGTCTATACATCTGACTGCCTCTACCACACCTCCATGTAGGTGTTGAATGGATCTCTGAGACTTGTGAGAAGCCTGTCAGCACTGAGTTCCAACACTCTCCACCTGCTCCTCTTGCAGCTTTTGTCTTCTCAGTAAAAGCAACGTTGTTCTTCTAGGTGCTTAACTGAAACCTTGCAGGCTCCCTGACACCTCTTTTGCTCAAACCTCATATTTGATATATCTACAGACTTTTTTGGTCTTATCTACAAAATATATCCAGGTTCTGTCTCTGTCCCTATCTCTGACCACTGTCTTGCACTGCTTTCTGGTGTAGGCCCCCATCTCCTCCCACCTGGATTATGGAGATGCCTGCTAACCCATCTCCCCACCCCTCACTCTGCACTGAACCCAGGTGTTAAAATGAACACGTTACAGCACATGTTACTCTGCTGTTTGGAACCTCCAGTGACTTCCCTGTTCACTCAGAGGAGAAGGCAAAGTCCCTGGAGTGGCCTCTAGAGCCTCATGTGGCCTGACCCTGTTACTCCAACCTCATTTCCTAACACTCTTCCACCTCCTTGCTCTGCTCCTGCTGCCCAGGGCCCTGTGCTGATCTAGCACTCCAGGCACACTCGTTCCTCCAGGCCAGGTGTAGCTGTGCCTTCTGAGATGTCCCATTCTCAATGAGACCTTTCTTCGTCACCTTGTTTGAAATCACATCCCCAACCCTCCTGTCCCCTCCTATGTTTATTTTTCTTCTTAGAACGTCACTAATACGCTATCCATTTTACTTATTTATCTTGTTTTTCGTTTGTCTCCCAGCCCGTTAGTGAAAGCCCCATGAGAATAGAGATTTTTGACTGTTTGGTCCAATTCTCTATCCTCAGTACCTAGGACGGTGCCTGTCATATCCTAGGGCCTCTGGAAATGTTTATTGAATGAGTACATCAACGAACAATAATGACAAGTGTTACTAACTTTGGAAAGAATTTAGAATGCCATAGGTATGTGTCTTTGAAAACCTGGTTTAATTATTCTATGGGTATCTTTGTTCTTTGCTTAACATTTAAGACCTCTGCCTACTGAGTTTTCATTTCTCAAAAATAGTTATGACTTAAGGGGAGTGTCACCCTTAAAGCAGCCCTCTTTCCTCGTGCCTACCCTTGCTACATTTGCCGTGATCACCTACCAGTTACTGAATGGAAGGGAAGGCTCTCAAGAACAGACTACAGAGTTTCCTAGCAAGTTCACTGTGGTTCAAATTTGGCCTCACAGGGCTCTCCCACTGCTCTTTCCGATGGAGCTGTCCCAGTCTAAGCCACAGAAAACTAACTGTGGCTGAAGAAAAGCATAAAAAGTGAAATTGTTTCATGATCTTTCAAATGGTGTTTCAGGTGCAGGATATTATATGACTTTACTGAAAAAACCTCATTGTGATGCAGAGAACATCTCTCGTCTGATTTATCATCACATACCAAATGCAGTTTTGGCATCCAGCATTGGAGAGGAATTGACATTCATACTTCCTAAAGACAGTGTGCAGAGGTATGGCCCTGGGTGCTGCAGGGGAGCTGCGCTCACCCGCGCGGAGTGCTGAGTCTTCCCCTCCACAGGGGAGCAAGGGCATTCCGTGCCCCAGGGGCTTAAACCCTGGGCCTTTGGCACTATCTGAAAAGACATCCTAGCTAGGGGGCAGGTTCAAATACAGTATTCAGATCACATCCTCCCTCCTTCAACCCTTGAGAGTTCTCAATTGCCTTCAGGTTAATGTCAAATTTCGTAATATGGCTTAATGGGGACCCTTGATTTTGTTACCTCTAATTACCTATACCCAACTTACTAAGCTCATGTTAAGATTTGACTTGAGGTGGGTGGATTACTTGAGCTCAGAAGTTGAAGACTAGCCTGGGCTGAAACCCTGTCTTTACAAAAAGCACAAATATTAGGCAGGCGTGGTGGCATGCGTTTGTAGTCCCGACTCCAGAAGGCTAAGGTGGGAGGTTAGCTTGAGCCTAGGAGGCAGAGGTTGCAGTTAGCCAAGATCATGCCTGGGCGGCAAAAGTGAGACCCTGTCTCAGAGAAAAAAGAACAAAAGATTTGACTTGATTTTCCTTTAAATTATTTCAGACTTCGACTAGGTTCCCAACACTTCCTTCTCTCCTCCTCAGTCCCTATGTCACTGTCAAACCAGAATCTTACCTTATACTTCACTGAGAAAATAAAAGCCATCAGACCATCCCTATCACAAGCCTATAAACCTGCTGGCTTTTACACTTTTTTTTTTTTTCTTTCTTCCATCTTGTTACAGATCAGAGTTTGTTTCTCTTTCCATCACAGTCCTGTCCTTTAGCACCAGTTCAAGACTCCATCGACCCCATCTCCTCAACAACTCCCATGTTTGATTATCCTCTCTCACCTCCATCATCATTTTTTCCCTTTCCTGGATCGGTTTTCATAACATGCTCGCATACTCTGATGAAACTACTTCCTGGGCCCGCCTCCCTTTCTAGCTGCCTCTCCCTGTCTCTGCCACCTTTCACAGCCAAGTTTCATAGTTAGTGGTCTACACATGCTGCCTCCCCTGCGTTGTCATTCTACTTCCAAGTGTCTTCAGCCCAAACCCTTCCATCCAAACTGCTCTTCCAAGGTCATCATCAGCCATCATCAGGTAAGATATCACTTAAGATATTAGGGACTTTCTATTTCTTTAAAAAAATAAGTTATTGTCCAGGTGCGGTGGCTTACATCTGTAATCCTAGCACTTTGGGAGGCTGAGGCTGTGACATGGTAAAAGCCCCATAAAATTGCATACCTCAAACATACCTCGGCTTTCTGTTGAAACTGCTCTCTGTAACCCTTAATGTGACAGGCAAGCAGTCCAAACTGACGCCATCTTGGCCCCTGTGACTTGTAATAAGTAATTAAGATCTGTAATTTCCACCCTATCCAGACAATGTGTAAACTAACACGTATTTTGACTTCTGTGAACCACTTAAGTAACAATCCAAATGTCTAAAGTCCCCTGGTCCTCGGAATGTCCGGAGCCCCTCACCCTCATCTCCGCCCAGGAGGTGATTTACAGAATCCACTGGCCCTTGGAATGTCTGAAGCCCCTCACCCCCACCCCCACCCCTCACCCTCACCCCGGAGGTGGTTTAAGGGTATAAAAGGTCTTGACACCCTCCTTTCGGGGCCCTGGGTTGGAGAGACTCAAGTCCTCCGTGGCCGCTGGCAATAAAGACCCTGCAATTTGGCATAGTTTTGTCTTGGTGTTGACTTTCTATGCTCACTCCAGTACAACAGGCAAGTGGATCACCTGAGGTCAAGAGTTCAAGACCAGCCTAGACAACGTACGGAAACCCTGTCTCTGCTAAAAATACAAAAAATTAGCCAGGCGTGGTGGTGGGTGCCTTTAATCCCAGCTATTTAGGAAGCTGAGGAAGGAGAATCACTTGAACCCAGAGGCGAAGGTTGCAGCCTGACATGGCACTCCAGACTGGGCTTCAGAGAGAGATTCTGTCTCAAAAAATAATAATAATATAAAAAATAAAAGTTATTGGATAATATTTTATTCCTGTAAATAAATATGTTTCATACATGTAATTATGAAGTATAAATAACAGAGTGAGCCCTAGTGAGCCCTCTATGCAACCTAAGAACTAAGATATTGCAATAACTTTTTACCCTAACCATACTCAACCCCACAACATCAGTCCCATAGTTAACCATTTCTTTCTTCTTGAAACACTCTTCTCTCTTGGCTTCCTTGGTAAAATTTACTCCTTGGTGGTTTTATTCCTACTTGTCTGGCCACTCCCAAGTGGCACTGGGAAAGAATAGGAGACAAGAGTTTTGGGAAAGGTGGTTATGAAAAGGTCAGTCAGGAATTCTTTACATTTGAAAGGCCCCTGAGCCACCCTGGTAGAGATAGCAAGAAGAGGAGTTGTATATGAACAAAGCTGGGCATTAAGGAGAGGTTCAGCCTGGAAATGCATGAGAGTCATCTGCCTGTGGAAGTATTTAAAGTCATGGGAAGGGATCGGTCATGTGGGAAGAGAATGTAGAGAAAGAAGCAAGGGAGCATACAACCAGTTCCTGAAGCACTCCTAAAATTCGAGATTCCACAGAGAGGGGCCCTACAAAGAAGCCTGGAGAAAAGAAGCTTCATAAAAATGAATGGAGAATAAGCACAAATACAAAAAATTGGAATTGAGAATTGGGGGAAAAAAACCCATGAATACAAAATAATTAGAAGACAACATTTTGTACAGTTTTAAACTAATATATTGGAAAACTTCAATAAAATTTTAGATTATCTAGAAAAATAATTTTATTAAAATTGACTCAATAAGTACCAAAAAGTTTTTATAAAACTGATCACTTTTATCAAATATTTAAAGAAAAGATCATTTTGATTTTATTCATATTCTTCCAGACAACAGAGAACATTAAGAAAAATACAGGCTGGGAGGAGTAGTGGCTCATGCCTGTAATCCCAGTACTTTGTGGGGCTGAGGCAAGAGGATCCCTTGAGCCCTGGAGTTTGAGACCAGCCTGGGCAACACAGGGAGACCTTGTCTCTACAGAAAAAAAAGAAAGAAAGAGCCAGGCTTGGTGGTACACAACTGTAGTCCCAGCTATGGGGGAAGCTAAGGCAGGAAGAATGCTTGAGTCTGTGAAGTCAAGGCTGCAGTGAGCCATGATCATGCCACAGTTCTCCAGGCCGGGCAAAAGAGTGAGACCCTATCTTAAAAACAAACAAACAAAACCTCCCTGCTCCTTTTTACTAACACAGATTAATAATCTAGCAGTTCATTGAAAGACTACTATACCATATTGAAAGGATTATTTGATATTATCATTAATCAATATAATTTTCCATAATATGTCAAAAAGAAATCACCATGTATTCATCCACATAAATGAGGAAAAAAAAAAAAAGCTTTCTATAATAATTTACTTAGGAATGCAAATAAGAGCATGAGTCTGTAACACCACCTCCCTTCAGAGAGGGCAGTGCACTGGCCATGCCCCAAGTCTGGTGCAGTCAGTGCAGTTTTCCCTGTGAGGCCTGCCAGGTAAAACCTTGTGATTACCTGCAGTCAGGCCTGAAAAATCATACATGGGTTTTTAACCAGGAGCCAGACTCCTTAACACACAAAAAAACTCAACATAAATTTAAAAACAAAAGTCCACTGTCCACTTCTTCTTCCAGTCATGATGGAATAACTGATCAAGAACATACCCTTTCACTAAAACTGGACAAAAATATATGAAGCCATTTCAGATATTAAGCATTAGGAAGTCTAGGACCATGACTGATTGTTGAGAGAAGAGAAACACCAAGGAGAGACCTGTATTTGCCCCAGCTCTTTGGCTTGGGCACTTTCTAGAACATGGCCCAGAAAAGTAAAAACAAATCACAATGTAGCAGTGAATTTGCTTAGCTGAGAAGGCAGAGATGAGAGGTCAGAGCTCCTGAAGTGTCTGGACTTTGTGGGACTAGGACAGCAGAGGAGAAAGCTGGTAGGGGAGGGAGGGCCCCAGGGGAGTTCACTTGAATCTGTGGCTGAGGGCTGGGCAGTACAAGAGCAGGCTAAGAGTTCATAGCAGAGAGCTATGTATAGCACAGAGCAGCTACTGTGAACCTGAGCTGTTGACTCAGCTGGGCTGTTGCCTCTGCCTCTTAAATAGTAGGAATAATTCCTTTTTCATGAAAGATGGCTGATGTTTGTAGCTGAGCAGCTTCATTTGCCTGCTTCCTCCTTGTAGGAGGTTCACTAGAGGCCAGTTTTCACTTTGAACTCTCTCTGTCCTCTTTTGTGTAAGCTGACACCATTTTTAAAAAATTATTATTACTATTTTTGAGATGAGGTCCTGTTATGTTTCCCCGGCTGGAGTGCAATGGTGCAGTCATGGTGCATCGCAGGCTGGAACTCCTGGGCTGAAGCCATCCTCCTGCCTCAGCCTCCTGAGTAGCTGGGACTGCAAGTGTGCACTACCATACCTGGCTTATTTTTAATTGTTTGAGGAACTGACATGCTGTTTCCGTTAGAGGCTGCATCATTTTACATTCCCACCAACAGTGCACAAGGCTCCAACTTCACATCCTCTCCAGTACTTGTTATTTTATGGGTTTATTTTTTAATAGTAGCTATTCTAATAGATATGAGAAGGTATCTCATTGTGTTTTTTTTTTCTTATTGTACTTTAAGTTCTGGGGTACATGTGCAGATCTTGCAGGATTGTTTCATAGGTATACACATGCCATGATGGTTTGCTGCCTCCATCTCCCCATCACCTACATTAGGCATCTCTCCCAATGTTATCCCTCTCCAACTTCCCCACCTCCTGCTGTCCCTCCCCTAGCTCTGTATCCCCCAACAGACCCCAGTGTGTGACATTCCCCTCCCTGTGCCCATGTGTTCTCATTGTTCGATACCTACCTATAAGTGAAAACATGAGGTGTTTGGTTTTCTGTTTTTGTGTCAGTTTGCTGAGAATGATGGTTTCCAGGTTCATCCATGTCTCTACAAAGGACATAA